TGCGTTGCCCACGGTATGGTTCCCCTATTTCACCCCTATATCACCACTATAATCCCTGTAGTTTCCATGTTCTTTTCCATTATCCCAATATAACCCCAATGTACTATAGTAGTTTCCATTCTCTTTTCCATTATCCCAATATAACCTCAATCTACTACAGTAGTTTCCATTTTCTTTTCCATTCTCTCAATATAACCTCACTGTACTATAGTAGTTTCCATTTTCTTTTCCATTATCCCAATATGACCTCAATGTACTATAGTAGTTTCCATTTTCTTTCCCATTATCCCAGTATAACCTCAATCTACTGCAGTAGTTTCCATGTTCTTTTCCATTCTCTCAATATAACCTCAATGTACTATAGTAGTTTCCATTTTCTTTTCCATTATCCCAATATAACCTCAATTTACTATAGTAGTTTCCATCTTCTTTTCCATTATCCCCATATAACCCCAATAGTACCCTAATATTACCTCAATGAGCACCTGCGCCAGAGTCTACCACCCTGCAGATGTCAGGTCTCACTTGATCTTCATCGTTACGATCGAGTCTGTGAACAAGAAGTCGAAGCAGGAGGGAATTTGTAACCAAACCTAAGCACTGTGACATCACAATGCATGGTACTCTGCTGCTTGAGCACAGATTTCAATGGTCTTGATGTCAATGGAGCGGTTTCGTAGCAAGATGCCACATGTACAAATCCCTGGCACTTCACGATCCAGGTCTCCACTGGCAAGCTCACACTCTGTGATTTGGCAGGCCTATAAGCGGGAATGTGCCGCTTTCAGTTGCCTGACCATAGGTCCCTACCCGGGCTTTGTAGAGGCACTATAATCCCAGTTTCCATTCCATGTTCTTTTCCGTGTGATTCTCCAGTATTGGGGGATAATATATACCTGTATACTATATACCCGTTGAAGGGACCTAGGGTTTCCATTTCATTCTCCATTTTCTTGTCCATTTGATTCCCCATTATTCGGGGGAGAATATCCCCAATATTACCCTAATATAACCCCAAGCTTTTGAAGTGGAACAGCTCCAGGCTAATAGGCTTCCCCAGCTGAATCTGCACAGAACCTTCATAGAAGACTGCACGATTCTCAGAAGCATGTTGGTGACAGATTTCATGATGCGAGCCAATTCACAGAGAGATTGCTTCAGGCTCCGAGCGGTTGAAGAAGAGCGAGGTGACCGGTGAGCAGATGAAGGAGGCCTCTACTAGAATTATAGCCCCCCTTAAGTAGATAGAATCTGGGGTATATGGGGATCTTATTATAATATACCCAAAACCATATTCTATCTACTTCAGGGGGACTATAGAATTACTAGAACAGCTTCTTTGGGATTCGGTCGTGGCTTTGCGGCAGCTTGAACCCCACGATTGGTTCCAGCATGCCAAACAACACATCCCAGCAGGCCGCAACAAGCAACCAAAATCTGACACATCACCTTGCAGATATTACGCTACAACTGTTTCCGCGTTCACTTCTTCATTGTCATGGCAAAAAATGTTACTGTTGCGCAGGCGCAGTCCATCAACAAGTCGCCTTGACCTTGGTTTCCAGCCAGTTCCTGTTTCATGCAGAAAAAAGGGCGGCGAGCGGGAGAACTGCCTCCGCGCCTGACCTGAACATACTTTGGCAAAGATTATGTCACACCCAGTCTCTAATTGCCTGAGCCACCTGAAAGCAGGCTGACAGCGCTTGGCGACGTCATCGAGGCAGCGGTACATCTCATCTGGATACTGTACTCAAAAAGTCAGCCTGAAAGAGCATAGACTCTGGCAAACAAAAAGATAAAGAGGTGAGGGCCCGGGATTTTGCCACGTTTTGCGTGAGCCATGTGACCTGTGGCTTCAAGACTACACTGAGGGTGAGCCAGTCCAGCCTGGAAGGCGCTGACGAAGCAAGCGAAGCACATACCCTATCGGAATCATCGGCTTACGCCGGGAGCCTTGGGCGGACTGGTGCTCGCAAGCTTAGGAGTGCTAACAGACAAGTCTACATTTAACGGCAAAAGCCCCCTGACAAAGCGCAAGAAGTTTAAGAAGCCTCCATCCTTGCAGGGACCTTCAGCTTCAACCAACACATTGGGGTAATATTAGGGTTGAATTGGGGTTATATGGGGATAATGGAAAATAAAATGGAAGCTACTAGTACATTGAGGTTATATTGGGATAATGGACACGAAAATGGAAACTACTGTAGTAAATTGGGATTTGGGGTCATTCTGAGTTGCCTTGAAGTTGGCTGCAATTCAGGC